ACTCTGGGAATGTTCTGCGCTACCGTCGTTAAACAATCCAAAGTTTCTCAGGTTGTTCCTTTTTTTTTTTCCGATATTCTTTTTTTGGGCTGGTTTTTGGGTGGCTCTCTTTTGGGGGGTTGCTAGTCCTTACATGATCTTATTTTTTTTCCCCATTGTATTTCTACACAAATTTTGTCTATTCATGAATAGGGCAAGTTGCCTGTACAGTAAATAAACAAGTTGTTTAAATAGAATGAATAGATTGGTTCATCTTCTGATCGGATCGATGTTCTGTTTTTGTTTTGTTTTTTTAACTTGCTGATTAGTGATTGGCTCTAAAATCCTGTTCATGTAAAAGCTGTATTAAAATAAACAATCAAATTTTAGGTTTGGCCAACTGTGCGCTAAAATAAAGGCAGACGCACCACAAGTGAATGTGTTTATTTATCCACTTCACTCAGACTTGTTAACTCACTAAACTCTTTGACTGGCGGTATTTCAAGTGTTCACTATGACAACTTCACAAAATTCGACCAAACAAGTGTGGCGGAAACATAAGTCACTAAGTCATAAATCCGATTAGAACAATAAGGCGGACAAATGTGTGGCCTAATCACGTCAACGTTTCATGTTTCCTGAAACAATCGGCGGTAAATGTGGGAACTGCGCTCAAGCACTGAACTTATTGAGACGCTATAGCGTGGGTGTCAAACTCGAGGCCCGGGGGCCAGATCTGGCCCGCCACATCATTTGATGTGGACCGCAAAAGCAAATCAAACATGTCAACTTCCATGATGCTTGCTAAAATCTCTTCCAAAATTTAAAATTCTCATGTGTAATAAATAGGAGACATAATGTAAGCATTTTCTTATAACCAAACCCCTCATTACAATAACTTAAACAATCATTGAATAACCCGTTATTATCAACTTTTTTTATTTGGTTTCAGTCATAACGGCCCTCCAAGGGAAACGGTCATTAAAATGTGGCCCGCGCCAAAAATGAGTTTGACCCCCCCCTGCATTATAGCAACCAATACACAAAACGACCGTACATACGGTACAGAATATAAAAATAAAAGTGTTGTAAAATGAATGAAAATAAAGACACTTGCGTTGTGTTTCCAGACTGAATTTGCACCACACGTTCAAAGTTAAGAAGCCAGCGTTCCGCCTCCACTTGGCCAAAGCAAATCGCGCGCTTACGGCATCGCCGCTGCGCTGCTCCGTCGTTGCGGCCCACCTCTCGGCCCCTCCCGCCGCGCCAGCTTCACATACACAAGATTAAGTAGCAAAAGTGACATCCAAGACCAATCGGGCCACCCAAGAGAAGCGCAAGCGGCGGAAAGGCTGTCAGAGCCCCCCGCCACCCCAGCCCTTCTTTGGCCACATTCATCTTCAAGCCTCTCCTGCCCTGCCAACTCACATCGCCTTCAAACGGCGGCCCGGTGAACTTTTCCCTCCCCGGCGCTTCGAGTCGTGCCTATCGCTTAACTCTTTGGGGGACAATTCATCGTCGCCCGCCGCGGCCTGGACCACTTCAAACACGCAGTCTAAATGAATGACTTTTCCAGACTCTGCGAGACTCGCGTTTGGCTGCGCCGAGATGAGCGAATACATGACGTGTGGGAAGCTCAGGGAGTCATTTACAGATGGGCAACATGCTAACTGGTCGCCTTCGTTTATCATCCTGGCAAACAGCGAAGCCCCTCTATATCGCGGATCGTCTTTCCCCCCCCCCCCCCGATACTGCAACTTAAAACACTTGTTTCCTATTGAAATAAATGGAAGTCCACCTTTGCCCCCCCCAAAAAAAAAAAACTGGCGCAGTATGTATTAATGAAGAAAAATAGCACTACATAATATTGTACTTCATAAATCTATAAATCAATAACAGTTAAATATAATTTTTAAAAAATAACACTGTTCAGCAGTTTTAAACAGAGATAGTTTTATGTGGACAGACGGTACAGCACGAATATTTGTCATTCTTCACAGAGGGTAAAGAATCTACGACTGACTACCAATAGGTAGATTGCCTGCCTACATGTGTTGCTGCACCGATTGGATTCAATCCATCATATTAAGAGTTGTAGCACTGTGTGTGTGTCTGTGTGTGTGTGTGTGTGTGTGTGTGTGTTAAGGCAGCAGTTGTTTGAAGGTTTCTAATTGCCATATATCTAATGCTAATTTATGTTAGCTAATTCATGTTTAGCTAGCTGGCTTTCGTCAACTTCAGGTCAATTACGTGAAGCAAGTACGCTTTACATCTTATTTGGGTTGGCTGTGTTGGGTAAAAGTGAGAAAAGGCACAAAAAATTACTTGAAAAAATGTGTTGGACTCATATTAAATGTTTTAAGTGTGTGGGAAGAGTACAACTCAATAGAAACGTTTTAATATGGTCTCAATAGTGCCGATTTTCACCAATTGCTGGAGGGTCTGAAACGTATCCTCCACCATAAATGGGTTTACTATATAACCAAGGGCATCTTTCATTTCTTTTTGGAGGGGGTGAAGTGTGTGTGGGAGGGGAGGTCGGCATCCAACCTGATATTGGTGTGAATGGGAAAGCAGCACAGGCGAATAAATGGCGGAACATGAGTGTGTAATCCAGCGGATGCCTTGGGTCCCAGGAGAGGGCCTTCCCCTAACCCCGAGCTCAGCGCCCCCCCCCCACCCCGCAAAAAAGAGGGGGCACGTCGCGCCATCTAAAGCGAGTCACCCCTCACCCCCCTTCTCCCTTTTGAAGACACTGAGAATCAAGCAGCATGCCTCAGATACTTTCTACTGGTTCCAATTTACTCCACTACGCAGAGTTGTAAATCTGCTGATGCGTTCAAGGATCACACCACCGGTATCCTCTTTTCGTGGCTTCCTCCAAAAGAGAAGAGACGGACGGGATCCATCGATCGCTAGATGTAGCTTTTCGAGATCATCCAATTAGGATGTCGAAATGCCTCCGTCAAATACATGCCTCCCTTTTCCCACATCCCCGCAAAAAAACAAAAAAAAAAAAACAATCGTTAGTCACTGTAAATATGTTAGCTAGCCACAGCTACTGAAGCACATGAAGAGTCTCAAGAGTTGGGATGCTTCTCACGTGTTGTACATAAGTTGGCTGCACCGTATTAAATATGATCAAATGTGTTGTCTTTTATGTCCTTTCCAGCACGCTATTGTCTCATATACAAACACACACACACACACACACACACACACACACAGTCTGAACTGGTTGCCAGCCAATCGCAGGGCACACAGAAACGAAAAATCATCCGCGTTCACACTCACACCGAGGGACAAGTCAGAGTGTTCAATCAGCCTGCCATCAATGTTTTGGGAATGTGGGAGGAAACCGGAGTACCCGGAGAAAACCCACGCAGGCCCAATGAGAACATGCGAACTCAACACGGGGAGGCCGGAGCTGGAATCGAACCTCTGCACTGTGAGGTCGACCCATTAACCACTGGGCCGAGATTTACTTTTAACGATATGCAAATTCCAAATAATCTTGTGTTTATTCATGATCTTTTTTTTTTCCTTGTCATAGCAAAAGCACCGAATGATCATTTTGAACGTTGCTGATTCGTGTGTACAGCGGACATTAACACCCTTGTTCTTAGTCTGTTTGCGTTCATATGAATCTGCTGTTGAGCAGCAGTGCGCATGTCAAGCCGCTCATAATGAGGATGTTGTTGTACAATCAATGCTCTCATTGCGCATACATTCATGCACTTATAATGGTTTCAACTTTTACGAAGAGGTTTTT